GCCCGCTGGCTCTTGAATACTATTGAATACTTGTAAATATATATATATATATACACATTAGGATGTTCCTCTAACACGTTTTCTTTATCCAAAATTATTACGTTAAATGTGGTAAATTATTACGTTATTATTACGTTAAATATGTGTGAAATATTACGTTATCATTACGTTAAATCTGGGTATATTATTACGTTATTACTACATATTTTGACGCTAAATAGGGGTAACTGTTACGTTATTGTTACGTTAAATGTGTGAAATATTACGTTACTATTACGTTAAATGGGGGTAATATTATGGTAAAATGTTGGGGCTCCCAAAACTGCCAAAATTTGAGTCCAAAATTCACCCAAATTTGGGCCAAAATTATTACGTTAACCCCCCCCAGTTAACGTAATAATTTTGTTTTTTTTTTTAACGTAATAATTTCCATATTTACAGTAGGCGACTGACAGTTAGAATTTAATTTTAACGGATTCATGGGTATGAATTGACGTTTTACAAAACGCATTCATACCCGAAAAACTGCAGTTAGAATATCAAAAACCAAGTTGCAGTTAGAACGTCAGTTAGAATATAAATAAATGAGTATAATATAAATAATATATGTATAAGTATATAATATATGTGTGCATAAATGTCAATCCCTTACTGAATTTGAAACTCAACACCACAAGGTTCCGCTGATTTCAATAGTTTACAGTATCTTCAATGGATAGTTATGGGAACAATGATGCCCAAAGAACTTAATGTAGGCATGGATACTATATGATACTATATACAGTATAGAGTATATGTATAAACTATTGAACACAGTAAATTGCCATACTTGCAAATTGTACTGGAGATTTTTTTTTGGACACAAACACCACTTCAACACAAGTTTGTTCAATACACCCGGTGTGCATCAGGGTTGGGAGAAACCTATGCAGTTAGAATATGCGAATTATATACAGTTACAAACAATATTTCCACAAAGTTTCACGGATATCGTTGGTTTAGCTTCAATTGATAGTTATGGGAACAATGTTGTCCAAAGAACATCAACACTTGATTCATGTTTTTTTGGGGTGATGGGTAACCCATCCTTCATCACACATTTGTTTACAGCAATACAACCGGTTTACATCAGGTTTGGGAAAATCGATGCAGTTAGAATATGGGAATAATCCCACAAGGTTCCTCGGATGTTGTTTGGTTATCTTCAGTGGATAGTTATGGGAACAATGTTGCCCAAAGAACATCAACAACTGGCTCATATTTTTTGGGGTGATGGGTAACCTATCCTTCAGCACAAAACTGTTTATAGCAATGCAACCGGTTTACATCAGGTTTGGGGAAATCGATGCAGTTAGAATATGGGATTTTCTAAAACCTCACAGGGTTCCACAACCAAACTGTATACAGCATCTTGGTTTAAAACAATTGTGACCAAAACATCTCGCCAGTATACAGTGAGAATGCACCTTCTGGTGCAATCCATCCATTGGTCTCCGACATGTCCGGTGGAAAAAGATGTGCGGCAACCGCTGGGCAGCTCAAGCGAATGACTGCGCAACCAAGTTGGTCACTACATTGCAGTACGTACTGTAAAAAATATATCACCAGTGCTGCAATCAGAAGATTTGGAGAAATGAGGTATGAGACCTAGCGACAAAGTACTATTCTCTTTTGTGGGGATGAAATCTATCGTGTTTTGGCAACGTGCCACATTTGGTTTTGAATTTGAACTGTAGGGTGTGTGGTCATTGCGCTCACGGTCATCTCAAGATGGCGGATATATGGTCACCGCCAGTCGATGCTTCAGCGGCGAGTGACCATTATGAGTTGCTGGGCGTTTCTCCTGCAAGTGGGGCAGAGGTGACGCCCGTGCAGCGTGTGCTTCAGTTGGCAGCAGTTAGCTCTGACTCGATAAAGGATTGCTACAAGCAGACCTTGAGGCATTTTTCTGGCAACCCATTCAGCCTCTCAAAGCTCAGCCAAGCTTTTTCAGTTCTATCAAACGATCAAAGTAGAAGACTGTATGACTTGGGACTGATGCAAAAGGCAGCAGAAGCAGCCACCCGTACTGTACTATATTTTGCAAGCTTTAATCTTTTTTGATGGTGCGGCAAAACTATAGCATAGATGGTTGAACTAAATGCAGTTTTGTTATGTAACAACATCAACAGCCAGGACATATACAAGTAGAAACCACCAAAGAAACAATGGTTGGTATCAGTGCTAGATCTGCACTACTGTACAGTGTGCACTTATGTTCAGTTTGCATTTCAGCTTGTAATTTGCGGAACAATATAGTATTTTGTCTACAATAAAGTAGGCGCTTACAGTAAATGAGGAGGACGCTACAACACACTAGCTGCAGTTAGAATTTTGATACAGTAAACCAAAGCAACAACAGCCAAGGTTTCCTTTACAGCACAAGAACAAGCTCGCATCCGGAAAGCAGATCAAGGCCAAAAGAAAGAACCGCAACCTCCATAGCCGCCTCCGGAAGATTCACCAGGATCTGATGCAGAAAGCGGTAAAGAGGAGGCACATGACGCAGTGACAGACACTACTGAGCCATCAACGAAAGACATCACCAAGCAGAAGCATTGCTACAAAGTTGTGCTGCGAGAAAATTATCGGAAATTCTCTATCAAAACGTATGGTACTGAGCCACTAGCATTGTTTGCTTGTGAGGAATTTCGCAAAGTAGCTCGTAGCATGATGCAAGAGTTTGACACCTTCAAGAAAAAACCAAAGGAACGCAAAGATCTTTTGGAAATGGCTGGTTGTGATGAGAAATTCTTACAACCAAAAACGTCCATTCAAAGCCAACATGATGCTTTAGTGCGCCGTTTGTGCAACGGTTGTGTGTCTCATGTTGAATGCTTGGTGCTCGACAAACTCATGCACAAGCTTGGGTCTGGGATGGATATGTCGCAACTGTCCATGAAAGCTACGGAGAAAGGCTTTTTGGCTACATACAAGGGGGAGAAGACTACATTGCAGCAATTGTTTCCTTAATTGCAAAAGGGGTTTGCATGGCTGAAGGAATTGATTGTTGCAGAGAAGGTCAGGGGTTGTGTTTGCAATGCAGTTAGAATATGTATTTTACTGTAATCCGGATGCCGTTACAGTACCCCATTGTACAAAGTTTCAAGTGATACTGTTCATATCAGGACAATGCTTACTGTACTGTCTCTGTTCTCTGTGTTTTATGTCAACGTTGCAGTACAGAATTGTATTTTATGCAGTGCAGTACAGTAGTATGGTTCACACCCCTTGCAGGGTGGCAAAGTGGACAAATATGTTCGCTCGCTTGCACTAAGCAGCCGGGAAACAATTCAAACAGAGCACGCTATGGAAGCCTTGGCTACCATGAAAGGTCCTGAGCTGAATGAAATTGACGGCACGGAAAATGCATCGTCCCTTCTCGATTCTGCCGAAGACGTTACTGCCAATTTTTTAGCACCAGTGGAGGATGAGAAGTACAAGCTACCACAATGCCCAATCTATGTGTACAAAGGGATTTTCACACGTTTGTCAGGGTTCCGCAGAATCGATGACTGTTCTAATTCTCGCAGGGAATGATTCATGCGTCAGGGATGTGATCTTAGCACCTTCAATAGAGTCCGCACTCAACACAAAAGATGTGTTGGACCGATGGAATGAGTTTGAGTATGGAGTCTTTGGATTTGTAGTGTTCGAGTCTGTGACGACACCAGAGACGTACCAGGGGGAATTGCTGAAATTGCCAAATCCAAACAAAACAGACCTACTCTTGATTGCTACCAATGAAGGTGCTAAGCCAACAGCTTGGATGTATCATCAACAAGAAAAAAGTGATGACCAAAAGAATTCTCGCTTCTCTACTGTTTCACTACAGAGTGGACGTCACCAAGCCAAAGCTGATACCTTCACTGTGGTTCATGCCAGCCACGTCGGTGTCGAATTTGAAGATCAGGCCGGACCAGCAAAAATGGTACAGTAATAACAATACTGTATACACCACAGGGCCTTAAACGACATCGCAGTTAGAATATATATGGTTGATGATCTCAATCACCAATATCAGTTCTTTCTTTGTACTGTACAATACATAGTAAATTTACTAACATGCAATGTTTTTTGATGGACAATACAGTTCTGTACAGTACAACCCACAATGATACATACTGTATTGTAAACAGTAATGGTACAATCCATATTTATGGAACATTGGCGACCTGTGAGGTTGCTTCATTGGTGAGTTCTGCCATTCGGCAGCAAATTATCACCGCATCAGAGGAGGAGAACCTAAGAATCCAACAAAAGAACTAATTTTATGAAAAAAACAGTTCCAGCTGATGGTCTCTGTTGCTACCATAGCATCTTGGCCAACACAAAGTATGCCAGCTGGAGTCAAATCTCACGACATCGGAGTGGTTATGCCAAGAACAGTCGCATTGTAAAAGAGGAAGGACAAAATGCAATGCAGTTACGTGAGCTTGCTTTATCTCTTACCCCAGCCGATGATGAGTTGTTGCAACAGCTTGCTGCTCGAGTGTCTCAACGCACGTACGTTGATGTTATGGAACTGTCCTGGCTGGGAAAAGTGCTGAATCTGGCCATTCGCTGCACCATTTCAGATGAGGCATGGCTTCGGCTAAACGACTTGATTTGAACCCAAAAAGAATACATACAGTCAAACTACAGTACAGTATTTTGTTCTTTACAGCGCGCATGGCGCACATGACTATAGTTCTCAGACTTTATGGTAAGGTGCTGTACAACACGATGCAGTTAGAGTATGCTATCTTGGGCACTTGCGATTTACGGTAACATTCCATGTCCTATGATCACTACAATCTCCATTACAGTACATACCGATACTATACTATAAACTATCTTTGCAGCACAGATACAGTATACAGTACTGCAATGTACAGTAAGGGAGTGAACAACACAGTACAGTAATTTGGCAATGTTTTGTGTACAGTACTGTATTCCAGCCGGCTCACTTCCGTTGTGAGGCCTATGCTTGGATGGAAGGTTCCACCATGAATTTACCAAAAGATGCTATCTATGGTGTGGATCTGGAACCAGATGCACATCTTTTCTTCTCGTGGGTTCTTAATGAAGAGACCAAGATCAAGTTTACACATTTTGAAGTCCTACGTCGTGTTCTTCCGGAAGGTGAACAACCTGGTCCATATGATGCATGCATGATGTTGCCAGTGAGTCCACCATTCCATTCCCTGATTCCAGAGGATTTGCTGTATGACGAACTTCTCATACATCTTTTTCAGCAGGGAAACGAGACACAACAAACAGAAAACGTAAGACAAGAGGATACAGGAGCTCCAGCACCGGAAGCACCTTCAACAGATCAGGAGCAGGCAGAGGCAAAAGCCAGCAATGAGAAGGAACGCACATCTACAGAAACACCACAGCAGGCAGAAGCAGCACCGCATGCAGCTCCATCACAGCAGCAAAGCAACAAAAAAGAAGAAGCTACCACAACAAAGCCACAGCTTGGTGGAACAGCTCCAGCACGAGAAGACGGGCCACAGCAGAAGCAAGCAACCTCAGCAGATCAGGAGCAGGCAGAGGCAAAAGCCAGCAATGAGAAGGAACGCACATCTACAGAAACACCACAGCAGGCAGAAGCAGCACCGCATGCAGCTCCATCACAGCAGCAAAGCAACAAAGAAGAAGCTATCACAACAAAGCCACAGCTTGGTGGAACAGCTCCACCACCAGAAGACGGAGCACAGCAGAAGCAAGCAACCTCAGCAGATCAGGAGCAGGCAGAGGCAAAAGCCAGAAATGAGAAGGAACGCACATCTACAGAAACACCACAGCAAGCAATTCAAGAGTTTTGCACACCTCTTGTGAATCTCCCTCGGGGTTTTGTCAGTGACGAGGCAGACAAGGAGCTGGATCGGCAGACGGAAAGAAGCATCCGGTCGAAAACCAGCATACTCGTCACTGACGCAGCTTCTCCTGAGCTACTCGCATCGGGTTTGCTCTCAGGCCGCCGACCATACGCAAGCAGCGGCGGGTGCGAGACGTATTTGTCGTCCACCAAGGTCATCCAACGTGATGCACCCCACGCTAGCTGTCGGCTCTTGAAGCGCCCATTTGCCGCAAGTCCGGACCTGTCAGGAATCATGCACGAGTACATCAACGGCCCGGAGAGCTTTTGCCAGAGAGTGTTTCACTCTCCATTGCTTACAGCTTGGTGGAAGGAGCTTGTCCCGGAAAGCTCCAGTCTTGCCTGTGCAAAGCACCGATTCGCATCAATTGCTTTGCCCTTGGCCCGGGTCTCCGACAATTTGTCGTCGATGATTTCACTAAGCCACAGGATCGGCTTAGTCCGGGGATCTGCCGGTGAGTGGGCAAGCAAGATCTTAGCCCATTTTTCCGGCAAAAAGGCATTGTTATTGGCCATGGCTGCCGCAGCAGCAACTTCGTGTGACCTCACACGAAGCGTGGATGATGAAGCTATGGACATCAGCGAGTTTTGCACGCGGGTGCAGCACTTTGCTCACTCCGTCCAAGCCCTCTTTGTTTCCGAAAAAGTGCTGGAGCTGCCAACATATGCAAAGTCTATATGTGCGACTCTCTTCAGAGTAACCCTGTCAGAATCATGTACGGTGGAGTGGCGCGAGAAATTCGCATAACGGAGGCAGACAAGAGGGACGTCTTGAAGATCATGAAGGAGTGGGTGGAATCTTCCTTGACAGTTCTCGAGGCAGAGTTTCCTGCCTGGCATTTGCTGAATTGCTTTGATGTTTTTCAACTTGCATCCGGAAATAGTGCAAGCAAGAAACGCGCCACAGAATCAGACACTGCCTTGGCAAAGCTGGCCAAAGAAGTGGACGAAGCTGCTCTGAAGAGCCAGTATTTGTCGGTCTTGCTGACGGCGCAGGCACTTCAACGGAAAGGTGGTTTGGACAACCGCTCCGCATGGGCTGAAACTTTGAACCGGTTGCAAAAAACATCTGCCCTTCGGACAAAATACCCTGTGGATGCATTGAAGCAGGTTATTGCTGCTTTTGTGGCATGGACGGCAGCGAGTTCGGGATGTGAGCAGATGTTTAGTCATCTGAAACGTTCTCCGGCCGAGCTTGCGAGCTCGCGCGGGGACACAGATCGCCGCTTGGCTGTGATCATTGGCAGCGATCCACAGTTTGACAACGAGATCGTCGAACGGGCGCAAAAACTTTACGGCAAACTGCTTCGCTCAGGGCGGGCGCGGACAGCAAAGCGGCAACCTCGGATTAATTGTCGTCGGGAAGGAGCTGAGAAACCAGAGTCCAAGAGGTCCTGGATCCGTGCCAGAAAGAAGGCCGTGGATGCTGCGGCAGAGGAACACGCTCAATTATGCACACCGGAAAGTCGTCCTGCAGTGGAACTTCCGGAGAGCTTGGCCAAAGAGGTCGCGAAGCAAAAAGCTCAGGAGAAGAAAAGAAAAGCAGAAGCTTTCCTGGAAGGTTCTTTGCTAGCCAAAGAAGTGACAGCCGATGTGCGATTGGAGGCCGAGAAAAGATTAAAAATAGAAGAAAGCAATGACAGGAACATGCACAAACAGTACGTAACAATTACAGCTGCAGCTCAGTTGGCAGCGAAGCCTCAAAGCAGGCAGTGGGCATTGAAAGACTTGCCCAGCTCAGTCTTTCTGTTGGAACCGTTTGCAGACCGGATCTTTTGGAAAGACGGCTGCAAGCCTCTGGTGTTGACACTTTCGCTCAAGATGTCAAAGCCGCCAAGCTCTTGATTGGGCCCGAGAGTGTTGAGGCAGTGAGTCGCACTCATCGGCTGCTTGCTTCTGTGTTTGGGTGCACGCTGCTCTCTGCATCTGTTCTGCGTGGCACAGGAGGATACAAGATAGCTTTCCAAGCAGGTGTGGAAGAAAAGGCGCGGGTATTTTGCACCAACTCTTTCAAAACTGAAGCGCCCGCCTTGACCTTGGTTGTCCGAGAGGCTTGCAGCCGCGGGCAAGGGTGGACTGCGACCAGCTTCGAAGAAGCTCGCAAGAAAGATGGTTGGAAATGGGGTTTAGTCTTGCGCGGCAAGACAGAAGAAATTGCACCGGCGCCCGGTCGCTGCAAAAAAAATCAGACTCTTAGTGGGGATGATCTCGTCACGTGGGCAACACGTGAGTTTATGCTTGCAGGCAAAAGTGCCTGGATTGCCAAAAAAAATAAGCTTGGCAGCGAACCTATAGGGGAAGAAAAAATCGTTTGGTCAGCTGTTATCTCGAGGGTTGCCGTTTGTTTTACATCATGACACAGTGACCTTCATGACATGGAATGCGTGTACTAAAATTTTGGCTCAAAAAAGCTGTCAAGAACCATGGCCAAAGCGCCCGTGAAAAAAACAATAGCCAAGAAACGACCAATTGTGCCTGCTGAGCCTCCACCAATTGTCGCTGAGATTACAGAGCTTGCTGGAAACTGGAGAAAACGGCTTGGTATTTGGAAAAAGCCGTCCAAGCGAGCACCTGTGGCAGTGGGTTCTGACTGCTCTGGATATGGGTCGGACCTCTTAGCCTTGAGACTGCTCGGTTTGCAGCAGAGGATGAAGCTGCTGATGGTTTGCGAGGCTAGCCCAGCCAAGATGTCGTTGCACGCAGCGATGTCTGAAGTCTGTAGCTTTGACACTTCTCATTGCAGATTTTTTGACGATATTTTTGAATCAAACAACATGACTGCACCGCGCCTGGACTTTTACAGCGCGGGTTATCCATGTCCAAGCTTTTCTCGCATGGGTGCCAGACGGGGAACAAACGACAGACGAGGCCTCGTCACCTTGCAGGGGTTGCATTACATTGCAACCGCGCGACCACGAGCGCTGGTCTTAGAGCAAGTGTCTGCAATTACAGACAAGACACACAAGCATGTCTGGGACTTTTTGCAGAAGATTTTGCGCATGCTAGACTATGAGTTTGTATTTGAAGTCTTGAATACAAAGAATGGTGTGCCGCAGAGCCGCCCGAGACTCTACTTCATGGCAGTCTGCCGGGAGTCGGTGCAGCATGGCTTGGTGATGCCACCTGCTCGTGAAGATCCGCCGGATCTCCACACATTTTTGGATGAATCGGTGACAGGAAATGAACGGCTCATGTTGCTACACTACGAAGCCAAGATAGGCCCTCAACTCTGGACCCATGGGTTCATTGTTGACGTCGATGCGTCAGTGCGTTTTCAGCACGTTTTATACAACTGCAGCCCGTGTTTGACGAAAACGCGATTATAAGGGCCACGGCTATTACATCCCCAAATTGGCTCGGAGGCTCCGGCCGGAGGAAATGGCTCGCCTGCAGGGCTTTCCGTCTGCAGTAGCAGACAAGCTGATGAAGGTACATGATGTACCGCATCGAGCCTTTGAAGAGGGCCTGGGCGATGGCATGTCCGTCAATGTCCTGCAAACAGTTGTACGTCGATGCTTGGACGCGGCGGGACTTACGGCCCTTGGATAAGGAAGAGATTGGTGGCTGAGATGTCCACGAGAGCAGTGCCATCAGCTCGCAGATAAGCTTTACAGTCCGGCAGAATGACGCTTGGACACTGTGTGGGAAAAGAAGCTGCTGACTATTAAGATATTCTGAAAAGTTTCTACAGCCTTAAACGTCGCAACCGTTAAACGTCGGAACCCTTACCTGGGTCTGCCCCAGTCCGACTAGTGATTGACCCTGGGTAAGGACAGAGTGAATATCGCAGTAGCCTTACCCGAGGCTGCCCCAGTCCAACCTTGGGTAGGGCGGGTAGGGATAGTGTAGATTGTTGTAATGGTAGTGCCCATGTTGCGGGATCACTCTCTTTAAGACGAAACGCGCTATCCCTACCCGAGGCTGCCCTGGTGCAACCTTGGGTAAGCAGAATGTGTCTTTCACCCTCACCTTACCCGGGGCACGTCGTGATGTCCATGATTTTACGCACTCTCCTTAGCCAGGGTTCACGAAGCATCTCCAACATGGTTTGGTTGCTATCATATTTCCGGAGCGCGCTGTTCATAAGTCTCACTGTCCCAAATTGCAAATAAAAAACGCCATCATGATTTTAAAACCATTGTCAGTGAACATCATATCCACAAACCAGCCAATGCAGCTGGACTATATGTGATCTCCGCCGCAGGCATTTCCGCAGCCCTTTTGAACTTGCCCAAGGGCACCTGCGCTACGTGACCCAGGTGCATTTTTAACTTGTTAGACTGTCGTCATTTGTCACTGACTATCACCACCATCATGATCCCCTGAGCATCGAATATTGATCCTAATCAATTTATTCACTACTTTTTTCAATTGATTTTTTGCAGACTGATTTGAATTGATTTTTTCAAAAAGTCTCAGATTGAAAAACATTATTTACAGATTGATTTGTAGATTGATTTGCAGATTGATTTTTGCCCTCAAAAACCTACTAAATTTCAATTGATTTTTTTGATTTCTAAATTGATTTTTTTGGGGTTGTTCAGCTTCCCAGCCACTGCAGCCATTTCAGCGCAAGACTTTCAAAAACCTACCTGCAAATCCAGAAATCCTTGAGAAAGGGCCTTTTACAAATCCTTGTGAAAGGGGAACCTTGTGAAAGGGGAATCCTTGTGAAAGGGATGGGAACCAGAGGTGGCTCAAGACACAGATCTAAGCCATACATCGAATGTGGCCTTCTGATCAAAGTGCTGCTGAGGCATGAAGACATACTGGTGAATTTCAAAGGGTACGAGAGCTGCAGCAGGAACAGTGGAGCTGACCCAAAAGGGTTGATTCACTGTCTAGATCTGGCAAATGATTTGCTGGATCTGGAGGCATCTGCAGAAATTCATTCTGCACCCTTGAGGCAAAGCCTCCTCCACATCCTAACCCAGAAGCCCAGCCTCAACAACACTTGCCAAAGTGGTAGCCTTTGGGTTCACATGAGATCAGAGAGGCTGAATGTGTTGCTCTTTCACATTCGAAGACTAGCCAGAAGTGGGCCAACACAAGCCTGTGTGAATGCCCTTTCTGGCCAGGAGCTAGGGAGGCTCCAAAACACTTTGAAAAAGGTGGCAATTCAGGAGGCACTTGTACCATTGCAAAATGGCAAGGAAAATGAGAAGCAAGAGGATGAAGATGAGGAGGAAGAGGAGAAGGATGAAGATGAGGAGGAAAAAAAGGAAAAAAGGCCAGTCAAAAGGCTGAAAGTTAACCCCAGCGATGTCAGCTGTGATTCACAAGGGTTTCCAAATATGCTCAAAAGCCCACAGCAGAAGCAGGAAGTCATGCCCAGCAGACTCTTGAGGAAGAGGGTGGGGCAGGGAAACAAAAGGCAAGAGATTGAAAAAGATGAAGATTTGAGAGAGAGAATGGGCTTTGAAAAGCAGGAGCCTTACAAAAGGCCAGCTGCAAAAGCCAAGTCCAGCTGCCAAAGGCCACCTGCACTCAAAAAGCCAGCAAGCAGTACAAAAACCCTTGGGGAAGGGGAAAGCACTGGAACCTTTGCAAAAGGGCCCAGCAAGAAGCAAGGACAAGCCTTACAGGGTGATGGGCCATGGCTGGTTTTGCAAAAGACAGTGGGCAAGAAACCAGAAAGAGCCTACGTGCTGGGCACCAAGGTGGCAGGCCTGAAGCCCAGACTTATAGTAGAAGTCACCAAAACAAGGTCAAAAAAATACAGTTGGGTTTTGGACAGGATCATTGACTCCTTGAGAAAGGAGAACCTTAGCAAGCCAGAGGCAATAGCACTCAGAGAGAAACTATGCAAGCAATACCCTTGAGAGAAGGGGAGAAGCAAAAAGCAGCACAAACTGTGCAAAAAGGTGCCTTTGAAAAAGGGCTTGCTTTTGCACTGGCACCTTTGCAAAAAAGGAACCTTTGAAAAAGGGTTTGCCTTTGCACTATACCTGTGCAAAAAGGAACCTTTGAAAAAGGGTATACCTGTGCAAAAAGGAACCTTTGAAAAAGGGATTGCAACAAGGAAACCTTTGAGAAAGGGTTTTGTACAGCCTTAGGGTTTTTAATGCTGCACATGCAGGACATGCCATCAGGCAAAAACATGCTGCAGCACAGGGGTTGGGCTTAGGGTGGCCTCAATAGATGCTTGGTGCTTGGACAAATGTAACCCCCTAAAAATTGTTTGGTCTCTGCAGGTTTGGCATGTCACATAGGATCAGATCAGCACATTCATAGATCAGTCGGTTCACACATTTCACCTCGCAATTGGCTGTTGTAATATATGGCTCTCAGGGGCCCCTTTTGCCTGGCTCACTGAGCTATTTGAATGGTGTGGCGCAGACCTCGTGCGGTCGTGTGAAACAGTGCTCGGTGCACTTTGGCCTTGAGTTGGTTCTGTCTCCGCAACTTGGACAAGAGCCCAATCTTCGTTACCAGTGCAGCTCCGCTGCATTGGTAGCGGAGCAATAGCTCCAGCCTTTGGGTGTGATCTGTGACTTCTAAAAGAACTACATCATTTCCATCCTGTTTGGGGCTAGCAAACTCCTTTTGCAATCAGTGCCTGTGATAGCACTACAACCTGGAATTTGAGTTTAAGATCATTCTGGGATTTCACCGCTTTGAACTTTCTAGCGATAGTGCTAGAACCTTTTGAGTCTGGCAGTTTTCTTTTTTTTGTCCCATTTTGGGCAGCAGTCATGAACGAGCGTGAGCACCATGTACCTACTTGGGATGGTTCTTCTAGAACATGGAGACGATATACTAGAGAAGTTGCATGGTTTGTGAGAGCAACCCCAGTTCACAAGCGTCGCTACTGTGGCACCAAGCTTGTCAGCCGTTTGACAGGCCCTGCACGACTGTTGGCAATGAGTTGGCCAACAGCTGACTTTGATTACCAAGGTGGAACTAAGGCCTTTCTCCAGAAATTGGCTGCAAGCCCCTTGGTGAGACAGTCACTGCCAAATGCTGCGGCCATCTGTCAACAGTACTTTGCTTTTAGACGCAACAATGGGGAAGCTATGCATAGTTTTCTAGTTCGAGAAGCACTTGGGTATAGCGAGTTTGTTGAAGCCATCATACGGTTGAATGAAGAGAAGCGTGGGGTTCAGCAACATGAGAAAACCTTCGATCTCCCTGATGATCAACCTGATGATGATGAATGGTGGTGGAACTATGGTGGTAGCTATGATGACCCTGATGAACCTCATACCCCTGCTGCTGCACGTGAACCTGGCCAGGAAACTACAGCCTCGGCTGCTGTTGGCGCGTCCTCGACACCATCGCGTGATGGGCAGCATGTTGAAGGCTCAACTGGAGTTGGATCACCTCCTAGACCTGCTCGTGATCCACCGCCTCCTGGCCCTGAAACTCAGCATGTCTCTGAAGCATCTCAACGCGGTGACCCTGAAGCAGTAGATGAACTTTCACTTGCTGATAGTTTTGTACTTGGAGTTTTGAGGGGATTTCGTTTGTTACAAGCTGCAGGGTTGAATGCGGATGAAAAACGCGATATACTTTCAGCCACGAAGGGTAGCCTGGAATTTGAAACTATCACCAGAGCACTGCAAACACTTTGGGATGAACAGTTTCTTGGTCGTTCTCATGCTGCTCCATACTACCAGCACATGTTCCATGATGCTCACTTCACCGAAGATGCTGATGAATCTGACTGGTGGTGGGGTGACTATGACAATTACTGGGCTGATGCTACTAGTTGGTCATGGGATGATGATGATGATGGATGGTATTGGGGTAGCTGGAACGAATCGTGGCAGGCTGAAGAGCATGCTGAAGAACCGTCCTCCAAAGACGATGGCGATGATGCTGCGCTACGTGAAGCTCAGCATGTTCAGAATGTGGCAGAAGGTCTCGCGGCCGAAGCCCAACGTAGCTGGTCAGAGGCCCAACGTGCAACTCAGGCTTTGAGAAGGGATCGTGGTTTTGGGCAACATAGACCCCCAGGTAGCGGTTGTTTCATATGTGGAAACCCTGGTCATGGATATCGTGAATGCCCGGATAAGACTCACCCATACTATATGAAAGGCAAGGGCAAGGGCAAGGGTAAGTCTATGGGTTCCTACATGACTGAGTATGACCCCTACACCACCTATCTCATGAACAAGGGCAAGGGTAAGTCCAAGGGGAAGCCAAGTGGCAAACACGCCATGTGGCTGGATGCGCAAGTCATGAAGGGCAAAGGGAAGTCGAAGAGTAAACAACCCTCTCGTCCTCCTGTCAATGCGTACTCTCTTGAATCCCTCTATGGCATGGAGATACAGACCATGCTTGACATGAATTCTGCTGCTAGCTCTTCAGTAGAGCCTGGCACTGCTCTGTTGGATTCTGGTGCTACGGCATCGGCTGGACCGGAAGAGTCGGTCAAGCAGCTGATCTCAGCTGTCCTTGCAGTTGACAAGGGAGCAACCTTGAGCATCGAGCGATACATGCGCCCGTTTTTCAGATTTGGGAATGGCATGTGGGGACAAGCAAATTATAGAGCATCTTTGACATCAACTGTTTCTGGATCCCCAAGAACGTTTCATGTTTATTGTTTGCCGAATCCTGAAGAGTTTGGAAAGCCTGGTTTCAACAAGAACAACATGGTACCCGTTCTCTTGGGCATGGATCATCTTTCTGGAAAGGATTCACCAGTAATTCACCAGAGTCAGCTATGTGTATTGATTTTCATACTGGTTTGGCTGTAGATTCCATCAACATTGACTTCAAGACTTACCAGCTCCCCTGCAACAAAAAGGGTCACTATGTTCGGGACATTGTTTTATTTGACTCAGGGCTATTCAAATCCACATGGCAAACCCAACATCTTGATCCACGAGGGGGCTGTGCAGTCGTCAGAGTTGCAAGCGCTTGAGTTTCATCCATGTGAATACTATAACATGGCCGTTGATCATCCACATGTCAGTGAACAAGATCGTGCGAAGTCAGTTGAGAAGTTGAAGATTTTGCATGCAGCTGTGTCTCAACGTGTGCATGGAACCACTTCAGCTGCGACAGCCTCAATGGGCACCGTGCCAATCTTTCAACACCCAAATTCGTTGACATCCGCTTCCACTGCTGCTGGCAATGGAACTACTTCCAGACCAACAACGGGATGTCGAAAAGATGATCAAGGGCTCAACTCCCAAGAAGTCTCCAGCACCACCGCTGGACCACTCCCGGGTCATGGACATGGACTCGAGGGATCCAAGAACCTCTCCAACGCAATGGCCTTGCATGGGAGGTCACACACCAATGGGAGCGAGATCCAATGCCCACGGCGAGTGGATCCACTGCGGCGTGTGCAATTTGCGCCTGAAGTACACTCCCCGGAAGGGCAGCCCAAGCAGTACGACCAAAGTGGAGAACGCCTTCATGGTGCAGAAGATGTTGGACAATCTTCGTCCTATGATGGGCAACTACCTGCCCACGGCATCCATTTGCCTGGCCATGCAGAAGAAGATCGACGCGGAGGAAGCTCTGATCGACATGGTGGACAAGGAGATCTTCGAGCAGCGACAGTTTGCCCTGCGAACCGCCTACCCGAAGGCGAAGATGCGTCCTACAACCGGGACATCATCGAGGGCAACCAACATGGCCGAGTGGGATGTGGTCCAGGAGCCTCCATCTGCTCCACAAGTGCCCTCTCTGCAGCAGGACTTGGATTTGCACCTGACTGTGGAGGAACGGGACAAGCTGCACCAGCTCCTTGCCGAACGTCGTCAAGCCGCGAGCCAGCCAGCCACTCTGGCCGACGCATACGAGGAGGAGATGCCGTGAAGCTTGGCTCGCCAAGCCCTTTGACTCCCAAGATGGCATCTCGAGTCATGGCTTTTGCAACTATGATGATGGCAACTATGACTTCCATGGTCACCCAGCTCTCCTTGGATGAGCGCGATGGACTTTGGGAGATTGCCTGTGCTCCTCACTCCTGGCTGAGTGAGTCAGCTCAACACCATGGCCTGCGACCGAGACGTATCAATCTCCAGAACGGCTACGATTTGTACCGTTCTTCAACATGGCAAAACCTGAGGGAGCTGAGAAAGGTCAAGCGGCCCAAGAAGCTTTGGTTCTCCTTGCCATGCACAAGATGGTGCCCATGGACAGCCATCAACTATTCAACATGGGAGCGCCAGCAGATCCTTGAAGGCTATCGTCGAAAGGAGCGCCGTATGCTCTGGGAAGCCGCTCGCTTCATTGAAGATGCTGTCCAAGAAGACCCTGACATCGAGATTTACTGGGAATGGCCTCACAATTGTCTTGGATGGAAGCAAAACCCAGTGGTTCATATCTCTAAGATCATGGAGAAGTTTGGCTTTGACTGGCTGCCTTGCCGAGTTGATGGTTGCTGTTACTCTATGAAAGATGCGCATGGAGATTTCCTTTTGAAGAAGTGGCGTATCTACACCAATTCCGAACAGTTCCATCAAGCCTTCAAATGCAAGCTATGCCCTCAGAATCACAGTCATGGTCGTATTGAAGGTGTTGAAACAGCCAAATCAAGTTACTATCCCTGGAAGTTTGTCCAGTCAGTGTGCAATGTGCAAGTTCTGGGCTTCACAGATGGTATCCAAGCGGCAGTTTCGCACTCTTTTTCAACACCACTGTGATGACGTTGATGATGAGGAAGACGATGACTTCATCCTTGCGGCTGATGCGAGGGCGGCCACGTCTTCATCAACCTCGCCCTTGCCGAGCTCTATGGATCCTTCAGAAGACGAGAAGAAGAGATGGCAACTCAAGCTGCAAAACTTTCACCGTGCATCCGGGCATGCCCCACCTCGGAGCATTGCTCGCATTGTCAGAGACGCTGGACTAGAACCTTGGAAGATCAAGATGGCTGAAGATTACCAGTGCCCCATACTTTCCTCCTGCGGGGAACTTGTGAACTTATAGTGTAACTTATAACCATAGTTATCTTGGGATAAGTTATGATATAACTTGATAACTTCTGGATAAGTTCTTCAAAAAAAAACGTTAGTTAGTGAAAAGTTATGTACTTATAAGTTAGTTAGGGTTTTTATAAACGTAGCATGTCTAGAAGTTATTTGGAAGTTATGGAACTTATGTTTTGTTGTTTTTTTGACTTTTTTTCATGAAGTATGATTTTTCAAAAAAAAACAATGGTTTTTATGTTTTTTTGGCTCATGGGTGAAAATCATCGATTTGGATGGTGCTATAGGGTAGATGGCATGGAGAAGCACATCCAAGCTTCACAGAGATTTCTGCTAAGCATCCGCACACTTGCGAGTGTGGAAGATGCGCGATGCAGGCAGTACACACACCTGCGTGGTGTGATCGCTCGAGCAGCGAGCCTATCGACTGCATCCTTGGCAGATCTGATCTCAAGCTTGGATCCGCAAGTTTGGACAAAGGAGCAGCTGGAAGGCCTGAAAACAGGGCTTGCGGAGAAACTTGCTGATTGCAAGGAGAGGAGGCCGATGCAGGACTATGTCTGTTTTCCTCTTTACTTGGATCAGCAGTGGTGGAACATGTTACAGACCACGTCATCTCAAGCTGAGCGCTTTGAGCGTCTGTGCAGACATGTTCTGTCGTTGGGCATGCGTTGTCCATCTGAACCCACGGTGGCTGCCCTTGTATGGCTGGCATGCTGCGCTTTCCGTGCGCAGGATATGACGGATGCGGAGAAGCGCAGCCTTTTGAAAGAGTACAAGCCGAAGCTGAAGAAATGGATCTCGCAAGTTGAGCAGCCACCAGTCTACTTGACAGTTTTACCTGCGGTGGTAGCAGACTGTCCTGTGCCGTTGCTGGCGAATGCATACCATGGGGGCTTTCAGGAGTATACGCCGCCAGGTTGGTCCTACGAGCACTATGAGAACATGGTCCGGCAATTTCCTTTGCGTCAGCGAAAGGAGGTCCCCACGGAGAAGTCGAACACGTCTGAGGGACGTGGATTCTTCGAAATGGGACGGTTGCTGGCCGGCTTCGCTGAGAGCGGAATGTTTGGGAGACAGATGACCATGTCATCTGATTCGTCGGCTCGCGATGCAAGGGAAGCGCCGCGCGAGGATCTTTCCCGTATTGAAGTGCCACGGGCATCTGTGGCCCCTTTGGCTTTGGAAGACATTCCCAGAGCCGATACGTCTCTGCGTGAGACGAAACGGGGCGAACCGTCTTCCAATACGTCTCTGCGTGAGACGATGGCACCACCAGTGTCTCCGCGTGAGACGAGGGAGGCGCAGCATACCGCATCGGCGGAGCTCGCTGCCCTGCGTGGGGAGCTCTTGCTGCAGGACCAGGTAGCTGCAGATGCCGATGCGCCTGGGAGCATGAAGCGTCCTGCTGGGAAAGTTTCGGCGAAGCCTCAGAAGAAGCCGGCGGCTGGACCGGGATCTGCGGGATCCAAGAAAGGGCCAGTCTGTAAGGTTTCTGCTTCGAAGACGAGTACCAGGAAAATGTTCAAGAAGCCTGCGGCTGCGGTGCCACGAGGACGTCGTGCGGCGACGGGCCAAGATCTGAGAGATCGTTTGTTGGCTTCCGTTCCGGAAAAATTGAAGCGGGAACACAAGAATGGCTGCAGTAGCTGCCGGTACAGGCCATACTGTTGCAATTCTTGTTGGATCAAGAGAGGCTTCTCCATCTAGCTCTATAGAGCAGTTCTATATAAGTGTGGACAGATTCTGCCACCTGGGATGCGTGCGGCTCTGGCGAAAAGAAAGGACGGGCAACCGAGGTTCTGTCTGATGTGTTCTTTCTTTGCTTGTTGTTCGGCACTGTCGTGTCGGGATGCTGTTTGTTTCGAATGGGTTGCATGTTAGGTTTCTGCCGGTCGCTTTGGCTCCAGTGTCTTAGACGGTTGCTCTTGCCGCGGTGGGTTCGGGGAGGCTGGCGCATGGAGATGTTGCATGCTGTTTCAAGAACGGGAAGGGTAATGTGGGTAAACACAACTAGCTTAGTGATGTGTCTCTTTCTGTTAGCCTTGTGTTTGTGCCCTGTCAGGTCCGTGCTGCAGCGGAAGATGGCGAATGGAGGCGGCGGCTCCAGCGAATACGAATCCTTCGGGGAGGAGGGAGAAGAGGAGCCTTGCCCACCTCCCACGCCGCCTCCTGCAATCCCCCGCTCCAAGGGAGCGGTCAAATCAGCTGCGCGCCCACCGGCACCGCGCGGAGCTGCGCGCTCCACAGGTGTCAAGGTCGAGCCAGCGTCCTCGCCCTCCATTTCCCCAGCGCCCGCGCGGCGCGAGGCGCGTGTGGCTCGGGCAGACTCGCCTCCACTGGCGGCCTCTGCGCGTGCAAAGGCCGCACCCTCTGCGGAGAAGCGGCCGCGAGTCCGCGGCAGGAGGGCCCGGGGACAGATGTGCGACATCTGTTGGAATGAGGTGGGTGGCTTCCCGTCTGCGTTGGAGCAACATCGCAGGTGGAACCTGGAATGCTTGCGATGGCAGCACTACAATGCAGGAGACTGCACCTGGGAGGAAGCCAGAGACAGAGCGATGCAAACGAAAATGCGTCGCGATGCGCGTGCGATCGTGGAGCAATCGCGCACGCGAGAGGAACCCTCTGCGGGAGGGAAGCACTGGCCGCGCGAGGATCTGCGGGATCGGAGTGAGCGCATGGAACGCACGGCTCCGAAGAGTGTGATCGTAAAGGTGCATGAGAAGAAAAAGAAGAAAAGACGATCACACAAGAGCAAGCGCGACAGAGACGAATCGCCGACGCCGGAGGTCGATCGGGACCGCAGGCGTCGAGACCGTCCGCCGAGCAGTTCGGACGAGGAGCCGCGGACATCGAAGCGCCCTCGCCAGCGGCAGCTGGTGATCACTCTGCCAGACCATGTGCGCTTCTGATTGCGGCTCACGTCCTGCGAGGACATCGTCTGGGCACGACGGCTGCAAAGCTCTCGGCGGCCTAAGCACCTGAGAGGTGCATGACCATGTGAGATGGCCGTAGAATAAGGCTTCAGTTTTGGTTTCATTGCTGCCTCTATAGATATAGTTTAAAACACGGACAAACAAGCAGTTGTGAAAACAGATGTTGTGTCCATGCAAGGTGTAGATAAAAGAGGCAGCATGAAACATGCGATGTCAGCGTGTAGCCGGACGCGACTGGAACCGTCAGACGTAGACAGCATAATGTGAAAAAGAAAGCCGGTGTTCCGAGGTCCGGGATAGCCATGTGGGAAGTCGGGAAGTAAAGTATAGCAAGGCTGTACCGCACATATCCGCAGCTCCTTTCCGCAGCCGTTTCAGGGATAGGCTAGCCGGTTTCGCGCGCAACGGGAACGGGGGCCATGGGATCCGCAAGTCCTTGTGCGGATTTTTTGGTGGAGAAGAGTGTCTGCGCGACACTAGACGCAAGGCAACCGGATGAAGATCCGGAAAAATCTTGCGTCCTCGATATGTTGGTGACAGCGGCACATGCTCCGCATTTGTCTGCGGAAGAGCGCCGGTCACTGTATCGCTTGGCGGATCTGCTGGACGTGGCATGGAACCATACATGGCAAAGCTCAGAGGCACGCGTTGCTGCAGCTGATGACCTGTATGAGATCCGTTGCTACGTTCCTCCGTCGTCCGAAGACATCTGGGAAGGGATGCTCGCACAAGCCGAGCTGAATGCACGCATGTGCGGCATCGCGGCAACGAGCTTGCGATATCTCTACAGTAAGTTGCCGGAGACCGCAGACATGGATCGCACGCTGGCCTGGATTGATGTGGCGCAGCGATGCCTCTCGACCACGGGGCAGAAGTTGCGTGCGCTGCAACGGCCTCCGAGTGAGGCAGAGGTCGCCTGAGTTCCCGCGTGGAATCTCGGCGTGAGATGCGTGCGGATGAGTGCGGATGAGTGCGGATGAGTGCGACTTGACCGCTACTTGTGACCATGCGTGCGGATGAGTGCGACATGCCACACGGCGATGAAAACACATGAGTGCGGCCTGAGTGCGGAGAGGATTGAGGGGGTTTGGTGAGGTTCTGTGAGTGCGGATGAGTGCGTGCGAACACCTGAGTAGGTAGCATGAGTGCGGATGAGTGCGGACGTAATCTTATCTAGTTTTCACCTGTCTTCGTTTGCCCTCAATGTTCGACTTTTTGTTGCTTCCGCAGCTTGGTTCGGTTCCGTGCACGCATATAGCGCCCTGTATATAGTTGCTTCATCTTGCTCTTGCATTGCCATGGCGGTGGTGGAAGCTGAGATGCCTCAGCACATGTGCAAATGCTGTGGATATGGGTATCAGCTGAGCGCTGGTCGAATCCACGGGAAGCACTTCATGTGCCAGGGCTGTCACAACATCCAAAATTCCATCCGCAGGAATCTGGGAGACTCGGCAGAAATGACCTCTTGGTCAGCGGAGGAATCGCTGGCATTCTTCAAACGCTTGACAGACGAGAAACGTGCGGCAGGTGATGGCACCTTGTCTTGGAAGACGGTGAGAGCTGCCATGGTCACCACGTTGACGGAGCAGAAGATTTCCTCCTTCTCGACAAACGTCGACGCAGAGGAATTGCCGTTGACGGTATATCAGGCCCGCGGCTGGTCTGATGAGATCATCAAGCGGTTCCCGTCTTTTCACAGCAATGAGTACGGCTGTGAGGTCTACCGGGTGCCTGTGCGGCGTCTTAATTGGAAAGAAGAGTTCGCGAACATCGAGAACCGCATCTTGCAAAAAGAACAAGACTTCGCACAGAAGAAGGGGAAGGGAGCGGGCAAGTTAGATGTGCCGCAGGAGAAGGAATCTCCAGCGGAAGCCGGGGAGAAAGGCGCTGCACAGAAAGCGGCGGCGGCACAGAAGAAGCTCGCGGGCCAGAACGAGCGCGTGGCAAATTTAGCCGCGCGCGCCATGGGTCCGCTGAGTGGTGCTGAGAGCGCCCTGACAAAGTTGCTGGCAAAGGCAGCGAAGGCTGAGAGCCATGATCCTGCTGCCTTACAGCTGTGCGAAGAGCAGTTGAAGGTGGGCCAGGAATGGAGCAAAGCGGCCCGCGTGGCCGTGAACCAGCAACAAGAAAATAAGGCCCACGAAAGCCAAAGTGGCACCGAGGTGTGTGAGATTTCTCCGCTGCCCTTTACGGCGGAGGACTTGAAGATCCACTTGAAGACGACGGGTGAGGCGCAGAGATCCCTTCGAAACAGTTTGCCGCCGCCGAAAGCAAAGGCGAAGGCAGGAGCTGCTCCGTCGGCAGCGGAGGGTACTGAAGAACCAAAGCCGAAGCGACGTCGAGCCAAGTCAGCCGCCTGAGAGGCAGCATTGGCATGTATCCGCGGGATATAGTTCTGTTTGAGGACCACGTGGATCGCGTGGACCTGCACTTGCGAGGTGCTCTCTCGATAGATGGCGGCGTGTCATCCTATCGATTTTTGTGTCTTCTCGAAACAGGACCGCGGCGACAGTAGATAGGGGTGAAAAAGTAAGAAGAGGAGCTGGGAGGGGACGGGCAGTGGTATTGTCGCAGTGAATCATTCCATGCAACGAAATATAGCCTTCTTTTAAAATATGATGAAAGCGACCAAGGACTTCCCAAGGCAGGAATAAAGGGACAAAATATAAACGGCATCATAACCCCCAAAAGAAAAAAAAAGTCTTGCAGAAATCTTATCGGTGTCTGATGCGTGTTATGTTCAAGGTGCATTGCAAGTAGTATGAAGCGTCGCCGGTTGCATGGAAGCGATACCCCACGGGAGCAGTTCGCAACGCTGCGACAAATCCCATCGCTGACACAGGAGGAGTGTCGACAGGTGGTGGCGCTGCTGCACCCCGCGGATGAGGGCCGCAAGACCTGCTCCAGGCTGCAGGATGTGCATCCAGAGGCCTTACCATGTCTACGTGAGGTTTCCGTAGAAAGGTCAGCGGGTGATCCGCTCATTGCGCACTGCATGTCTTTGACTGCGCTCATTGACGCCAAGATAAAGGCATGTCCTTTGTTTGCGGCGTGCATGGAGCGGATGTTCAAGGGGCATGGCGCAACGCAGCCTCTCATTTTTTATGCGGACGACACGCAAGGAGGCAACACACTGGCGGCCACGTCCACTCGCAAGAGCACGCTGATCTATGCTGCCTTCTTGAACTTCGAGTTCTTGCATCTCGAGTCGCTGTGGATGACTCTGAGTGTCATCAAGGCGTCAGACGTGGAGACGTGCAAAGGTGGCTTGGCGTCGGTCGTAACGGCTCTTTTGAGTTTTTATCGCCACGAGACCGACTGCGGATTGCCAGTTCGCATCGGGGATCAAGGGTATGAGCTGCTGCTGATACCCCATATCTTGTGGTTGAGCGACCACGAGGCCATTCGCTCGGCCTTAGGCTGCAAAGGCAGCGCTGGCTACAAACCATGCATTAAGTGCCGGAATGTTGTGGCTGCGGGCCGCGCTGGCACGGCTGCGCATGTCGACATCACCTGCGTCGATGTCAGTCGCTTTGTCAAGCAAAGACAGGAACATGTCGACGACATAATCGATGTGCTATCTTCGCAAGGCACAAAGAAACTGAAGGAACGGGCAGAAGTCATGCTCGGATTCAAATTATCTTCCCTGATGGAAAGCCCACTGGGTCAGAGACATTTGAGTTCCTTCTTCAAGCTCGACTTCTTGCAGTATGATGCCATGCATCATTTGTTCAGCAACGGGATCGTTGCTGAAGAGCTTGGCCTCTGGTTCGCTGCCTGCTGCATCACCGCAGGCGTGACTGCGGACCATATGCGGCGCTACGCCTGCGTGGCGTGGAAACCCGTCAAAGGGGGTCATGCGGAGGCTCCGCGACCAGACATGTACTTTGTGGAAAAGCTTTGGAAAGTGAATGCGGATTTCCGGGGAGACGCGCAGGCATGTCTCCACGCACTTCCGCTCTGTGTGGCGTATGGCGAAGAGATGCTGCGCGATCCCTTTCCGGCACTGCATTCGCAGCTGGATTCTTTGAAGGCATTGCACAAAGTGGTGGTATGCGTCAAAGCTTGCAAAGCAAATGCAGCGGCCGCGCGTGACTTGTTGCCTTTGCAGCAGGAACACATGCGCTTGTTCATTGCTGCGTACTCAGCAGACGCATGCCGGCCAAAGATGCATTATCAGCTTCATCTTAAGGAACAGATGGATCTGTGGGGCAGATCGATCGATTGCTTTGTGTGCGAAAGAAAGCACAGGCAGTACAAAGCGATCTGCGGTTCCAAGTTGACATGCAGTCAGCAATCCTTTGCTCGCAGTGCTCTCCTGGAACTTTGCTCGCTGGAGTTGGCTACACCGCTGAGCGCAGACAAGCTTGCTACCACTTTTGCCGGAAAAGTTTCTGTCAGCTGCGCGCTGACACAGAGTCTCCGGACAGAGCAGCCTGTCCAGATGGCATCAGCCCTTGAGCACCGTAGCATTCGTTACGGCAAGGGTCTCTTCATACTGCTTGCCAATGGCTTGGCCGCAGAAATCATCTGCGCGATCCACACTGGCGAAGAATTCGCCCTCTTGGTGGAGATCCTCAAGCCACTGAGTGACCGCGACACCCCAGGGAAAACGCTTTGGCGGCGTCCGGCAGCTGGGGAATGCAGTCGCGCGCTGCTGCCGGTCACTAAAAACTTTAATTCGGAATGCACACAATTCATGTACGTTCGCCACGACAACAATAAGTTGTGGCTCCTGCAATGAACATCCGCGAATGTGGAAATAGAAACAGAGCTCCTGCATGAAAAATATTAAAACGAATGAAAAACAATCAAACTAACACACTTCGGTAAGAATACATGCTAAAAATACAATAAAACACAAATCATCAAAAATACAGAAAAAACATACTTAGAACTTAATGAACTTAAAATGAACTTATAAGTTCTCTAAAAAACCTATCAAGATAACTTACACTATAACTACCGTAACTAACTTATAAGTTCCACAAGTTCCCGGCGGGAGGAAAGTATGCATATCTCTCCGACCTGGAGGGATCAGCAGCGGACAAGTCCCACCCGCTGCAACACATGCCCAGTTCGGGCCATGGGAGGCAGTTTGCATGGATGTGAGCGAATGGATTGTACCAAATACCGGCAAGAAACTGAAGTTCCTGCTCATGATGGATTGCGCAACCAGATTGAGGTCAGTTGTGCCTTTGATGCCTGCCTATGACATCTCCATCATGAAGACTGAATCAGCCGAGATGTTGGTGCAAGCCGTGGCATCTCATTGGCTGGCGATCTACCCCAAACCCTTGCACTTCGTGACCGACAGTGGCAGCTCATTTACTGCTGCGAAGTTCGGCAACTTTTGTGCCGATGCTGGGGTGGATCTCACATTCTCAGCTGAGAAAGAAAGCTGGGCTCATGGAATGGCTGAGCACGGAATGAAGGACTTGAAGCACACAGCGTCCGCGATACAGATTGACTGTCCGGACTTGGAACCTGAAGTGACGTTGACCCTGGCTGCATCCTCATTGAATTCTACAGAATACGTGTCAGGATATACATCTCATCAATGGGCCTTCGGCCGTGACTATTCCATTGGTGATGAAGATCGTCGTGTCCATGCTCTTCACAGTGATCGCTCCACCTTTGCAAACATCGTGGCTGCGAGGCAACGTGCTGAAGAAGTGGCCATACAGACACGATCCAAGCGGATCCTGTCCAAGCTCGGCAACTCCAAGGCTCGACAGCCCATCAAGACATTCAAGGTCACTGAGTTGGTCAAGATATGGCGTAAGGTTCTTCCACAAGATGTTCACTCTGGACCCAGAGGTGGCTTCAAGCGTGCCAGCAAACCAGGTTGGGTTGGACCTGGACGAGTCATTTTTGCTGAAGTTCTTCCACATCAACCTGAAGGCGACGTGAGAAGACATATAGTGTGGGTCTTGATGCAAGGCAAACTCTTCCGATGCAGTGTCCACTCTGTTAGAAGCCTTACTCCCACCGAACGTCTTCATCATGAAGTTCACCATCAAGAAGATCCCTCAGCATGGAAGACTCTTTCTGACCTGATGCCGGCCCGTGAGTTCACCGACATCACTCATGAGGTCCCTGATGAAGATGAGCTTGAACAACAACTTCTTCCACCTCAACCAGATCCCATGGTGAAGGTTCCAGTTCAACGAATCCAAGGGAAGTCCACGCTGCAGCCCTCAGACTGGAAAACAGTTCACCGGTCATCTCCCATTGGAATTGGGAATCAGAGCTCTTCGGTCCGTGGCCCTGGATTTTTGCCACGACCGGCTGGACTTTCCACATCACCATCTGGACTTGGTGATAAGAGCTCGACTGCCCCTGGACTTGCGGCAGGAACTGATGATACTTCAGCAGCTGCGTCTTCCTCCTCGCCCTCACCTCAGGATCCTTCTCGTGTTGTGGACCTGACTGCAGAACCAGTCAATGTCTATGAACCTCCTCTTCGAGAAGGTGCTCCACATCTACCTGAACCAGAGCCAAAGAAGCCTCGGACTGACGCCTATGATCTCAAGTGGGTTGAGGCACTGGAGCATGATGCTGCTCTTGAAGCTTCCCACATGGACTTTTTCCAGGCCCTTCAGTCCAATGAGGAGATCCTGGCTGTCACCATTGATGTGAACCTTTCGAGCCAAAAGCAGCGCAAAGACTTTGTGCGCAATGCCAATGCCTTTTTGGTTCGCAAGTTGGCCAACAGTGAAGTGAATCTGAAGCGCCTTAGTGAATGTGATCAAGAGCTTTTCCGTAGAGCGAAGCTCAAGGAGGTTGACTCATTCCTCAAGAATGAGGCTGTCCGTCGTTGCCTTGATGACGCTGAGATCAAGCGTGCCTACTCCACCAAGCGCATCATCCGTGCAAGGTGGGTGCTGACGTGGAAAGCCATTCCGCCAGATGAAGCAGATGAGGCTAGAGAGGATCAACAGACAAATCCTCAATCCACTGTGAACGCCCAGGGCAACAAGAAGGCAAAAGCACGCATAGTGCTTCTTGGTTTCCAGCATCCATCACTTCTTGATCCATCGTTCAAGACCAGTGCTCCTGTGCAATCAATGGTGGGCAGGAACATGATCTACCTGCTTGCTGTTCAACACCAATGGAGACTACGCGGCCTGGACTTGGCAACTGCGTTCCTTCAAACTCAGCCCACGAAAGCCGATGAAGAACTATGGACATCTGGCGTGGCAGAACTTCGCACTGCCCTTGGCCTTGGTGAAGATGGCATCATGCGAGTGCTGCGCAACATCTATGGATCCACTACAGCACCGCGAGGATTGTGGCTTGATTTGCATCGCAAATTGGTTGATCTTGGTGCTGTGCCTATCCTTGGAGAACGGTGTCTTTGGGCTTGGTTCTCAAAGATTGACAAAGATGCCACTGGTCGCTACCCCTTGCTGCTGGGAGTGATGGGCGGTCACGTGGATGACTTTCACTGTGTGGGCAACCCACACTCCAATGAATGGAAAGTCATTGAGCAATCCATTCTCAATGCCTACAAGTGGGGAACTGAGAAGCGAGACAATTATCGCCATGCCGGTACCGACATACGAACTCACACTGGCAAGGATGGATTTTTCACGAAAGCTAGCGTCAGCTAGCTGGAGTCTTCTTGCTTTAGCAAGTATTGGGGGGGCTGCTCAAGGACATCACGTGATTTTTCACGCGAAAGGGCCCCCCCCCTCCCCCACCACCACCACCACCATCACCACCATCATCATCATCATCATCATCGTCATCATCATCGTCATCATCATCGTCATCATCATCGTCATCATCATCGTCATCGTCCTCTCCATCGTCCTCTCCATCGTCCTCGTCCTCGTCCTCGTCGTCATCATCATCATCATCGTCGTCGTCGTCGTCGTCGTCGTTGTCGTCGTCCTCGTCCTCGTCCTCGTCCTCGTCCTCGTCATCGTCCTCGTCCTCGTCATCGTCATCGTCATTGTCATCGTCATCGTCATCATCATCATCATCATCATCCTCGTCATCATCATCATCATCATCATCATCATCATCATCATTCATCATCCATCATTCATCATTCATCATTCATCATTCATCATTCATCATTCAGCATTCATCATTCATCATCATCATCATCGTCATCATCATCGTCATCATCATCGTCATCGTCCTCTCCATCGTCCTCTCCATCGTCCTCGTCCTCGTCCTCGTCGTCATCATCATCATCATCATCGTCGTCGTCGTCGTCGTTGTCGTCGTTGTCGTCGTTGTCCTCGTCCTCGTCCTCGTCCTCGTCATCGTCCTCGTCCTCGTCATCGTCATCGTCATTGTCATCGTCATCGTCATCGTCATCATCATCATCATCATCCTCGTCATCATCATCATCATCATCATTCATCATCCATCATTCATCATTCATCATTCATCATTCATCATTCATCATTCATCATTCATCATTCATCATTCATCATCATCATCATCATCATCATCATCATCATCGGCATCATCATCAGCATCATCATCATCATCATCATCGTTATTCAATTACATTTTATCATTATTGGCAATTATTCTCATTATCACTAAAGCTAGTGTTAGCTCGCTAGAGTCTTCTTGCTTTAGCACGTATTCCGGGGCTCCCCAAGGACATCATGTGATTTTTCCCGCGAAAGGGCCCCCCCCTGCCCCCTCCCCCATATATATCATTGTTATATATCATATATCAATATATCATTGTTGCATCCTTGTTGGGACGAACAATGCCGCGACACGATAATGACAGTCCCTCCGCAACTCACCTCTTCCCTTCCTTCTTTCTCCTACCCCGCTAGCTTTCGTCATCCACCCCCGGCCTCAAGTCTACATCACTGTGGACCAAGACGCCTATGTGGAGTCCTTGGTTGATGTTGAAATACCTGGCGATAGAATCAGAGCTGACGGCCCCATGAGCTCCAAAGAAGTTGCGGCCTGTCGCACGGCCCTCGGCGCCTTGCAATGGTTGGCCATCCAGACAACCACAACTTTGTGCCCGTTGCAACCTTCTTCTAACTGAGGTGGTGACTGATGGACGCCTTGAACATGCCAGAGAGATTCAAGCCATGATCGGAGAAGTCCGACAAGATCCATCACATCTCAGGTTCATGAAGTTCAAGGATGTGAAGAAATGGGATGATGTTGTTTTCATTTCTATGGGTGATCAAGCTCACACCAACAGACCCAAAGGTGATTCCACTGGTGGCATGCTTACCCTTGCGAGCGGTCCTGAGTCCGTGTCTGGCAAGGTCTCTCCTATGTGCCTTCTCTCCTGGCGAAGCTGGAAGTTGAAGCGCAAGGCGATAGGTAGCAATGATGCAGAAGTCCAAAGCATTGTAGAAGCTGAAGATCAAAATTTTCGTGTGCGACTTTTGTGGTCAGAGCTACATGGTGCAGGAGCTCTACGACCAGCACGAAGAGTTGATCTAGTCGAAATGGCAGAGGAGCAAGCTCTAACAACCAAGGGAATTCTCTGCACAGACTCAAAAGGTGGATACGATGCTGTTGAGGTGAACGAGTCACCACTGCTTGGACTTTCAAATTTGCGTGCGGCCTTACAGGCCTTCCAGCTCCGTGACAATCTCCAACGAGTTGGATGCTATCTTCGCTGGTTGGCATCAGACTATGACTTGGCCGATGCCATGACCAAAAAGCGCATGGATTCCAGAATCGGCCTCACCAAGTTCCTCAAGACTTGGCTTTGGTCAATAGCGTATGATCCAAATTTCGTTGCCGCCAAGAAGAACCGAAAGATTGGAAAGACAGCAGTTCAAAAAGTTGATGATGCACTTGGTGAACATTTTTCTCCTCTCCGTGAAGATCCTGTCATTTCCCATCACAATTTAGCAGATCTTGCAATCAGTGCTGCTGATGTATTTCTACAGAAACTGCAGCGTGAGCTCGCAATCAATGCTGGAGCGGAACCTGAACATTTGCATGATCTCGCAATCAATGCTGGTGAAGTACCAGAACAAGCTTTGCAGCCTGATCTCGCAATCATTGCTCGTGATTTACCTGCGGACGAGCATGCGCTGAGTGCTGCAGCTAACCCTGGCCCTGTGAGCCTTTCTGAGCGAGGCGATGCTGATCTGACTTCTTTTGCCCCCCGTGCAGGTTTGGCATGTCACATAGGATCAGATCAGCACATTCATAGATCAGTCGGTTCACACATTTCACCTCGCAATTGGCTGTTGTAATATATGGCTCTCAGGGGCCCCTTTTGCCTGGCTCACTGAGCTATTTGAATGGTGTGGCGCAGACCTCGTGCGGTCGTGTGAAACAGTGCTCGGTGCACTTTGGCCTTGAGTTGGCTCTGTCTCCGCAACTTGGACAAGAGCCCAATCTTCGTTACCAGTGCAGCTCCGCTGCAGTCTCCCCTAAATGATTTTTGGTTTGTAACCACCCTAAATGTTTTTTGGGCTGTATAGGTCCCCTAAATGCTTCTTAGGTTTGGTTGAAGCCCCCTAAGTGTTTCATGTTGACATGTTTGGTGAGTGGTTGCTGCTGCAGCTTTTTCCACTGCTGCAGCCTTTCTGCTCAAGCAGTTTTTTTAAAGTTTTTTTTCCCCAATTCGCTCTCCCAATACTACCTTTGAGAAAGGGTGGCCTGTGCTTAACCCTTTGCAAAAGGGATGTTGGGAACCCCAGTTCCTCAGGGACTGGACAAACCCTTGGGAGAAGGGGATGGTGACTGGTGGCCTGGGAAAACATTGACCACTAGTTCTCCCAGCTGGATGTGGAAGATGAATTGGAAACACCTTGCAAAAGGTGATGGCAGAAACAAGGCTGGTAAAAAAGTTGGCAAGGGGACCACTTCCACCAAAAGGAAGCTCCAAAGGCTGCACCTGCAGCCACACCAGCCTGGAGAAAACTCTTGGGAAAGAGATGACTCTTGGGAAAGAGATGACTCTTGGGAAGATGACTCATGGGAAAGTGATTACTCTTGGGAAAGAGGTTGGTGGAGAAACTGGAGAAACTCTTGGGAAAGAGGTGAATGGGCAAACTCTTGGGAAAGAGATGATGGGTGGAGGGTGAGGGATGCCTGGGATGAGGAGGAGGAGGAGCAGGAAGGTGGCAGAAAGAGAAGGCCACCAACACCTCCCAAACCAAAGGGAAGGGGAAGGAGCAGGAGCAGCTCCAACAGCTCCAGGGGCAGCAGGGGGAGTGATGTCTCCATGGCATCGTCCTCCAGGAGCAGGGGGCCAAAGGTGAGGAGGGAGTGGAGGAAAAAGGAAGAAGCAAGACTTGCCTGGCATGAAAGCTGCAATGAAAAAAGGGGCTGTGCAGAATCCCTGAAGAAAAGGCAAAGGATGAGGCACCCTTGGAGAAGGGAACAACCACAGGTGGACAAGAACCCTTGGAGAAGGGGCAAGCAGCACCAGCTGCACCTGCAGCATCACCTGCACCAGTAGCACCAGCTGCATCTGCAGAAGCATCTGCAGCACCAGCTGCAGCATCAGGTGCACCAGCAGCACCAGCTGCATCTGCAGAAGCACCTGCAGCACCAGCTGCATCTGCAGAAGCACCTGCAGCACCAGCTGCATCTGCAGCATCAGTCAAAAAAGATCAGGTTGAACAGGCCACACCTTTGAGAAAGGGAAAGGTCATGGTTGATTTCCATTGGACCCTGGAAGTCGATGGGAAGATCACACCTGGAAACAGGTCTGCCATGAAGCTACTCTTGGAAAAGGGGATTGAAGTTGTGGTTTGCTCCTGGTGCTTCACCCACAGGAGAAAAGAAGTGCTTGCCACTCTTGAAAAAGAGGATTGGTTCACCAAGGTGACCTTCATCAGCACTACAGAAAGAAGTGGTGCTGGTGGGAAAGCAGCCCTGTGCAACCAATATGGCTGCACCACCATCTTTGAGGATGGGATGGACATCCTCAAGGAATGCCACCAACAGGGCATTGAGGTCTACTGCATCAGGAGCCCAGGTAAAAGTTACAGCTGGGTTTCTGACCAAGGCCTGCCCCTGTATGGCTCCTTCTCAAAAGCTGTCAGCGCCTTTTTCAAAAAAGCAAAATGGGGTGGCAGCACCACACCTTTGAGAAAGGGCTTGACCAAACAAATACCTTTGAAAAAGGGTATCCACAAACAAAACACCTTTGAGAAAGGGTGCAGCCAAAAGCAAGTACCCTTGGCAAAGGGATGAATCAAACAACAACTTACCTTTGAAAAAGGGTATGTTTCACCTGCATGTTTTTGGCCAAAGATAGCTGCTGCCACTGCCCAAAAACTAAGGTACAGTACAAGTAACTATTAATAAGAAACACATTTGCTTGTAACCCAGTTGTTGCTTCCCAGTATGCAGCGGCAGCAGCTTGGCACAGAAACCTGGAGGCCAAACAGGCCAACCAAAATAAAAAAAAATATATATATATATATAATAAATTAATTTATGTAAATTGACTATATTTAAAAGTCATATAAATATAAATACAAATAAATTTATTCATTTATTTAAGAAACAAATATACAACAATATATATATATATTATATTATATATATATATTATATATTATATATATATATTATATATATATATTATTTATTTTTCTATATATATATATATATATTCACCAAAAAAGTGGATTAATATACAGGTATTTGGATATTTCAAAAGACTTAAAACAAACTTTAAAGAACAAGTTAGTAAACAAACCAATATATAAAGAACTTAAAAAAAAAACAAAAGAAAAACCTTATCAACAACCAGTTCTTAGAAACAAATGTTTGGTAATTTGGGCACCCTTGCAAAAGGGTTGCACTGCAATTTCAAACCAAGAATTCCCAACTTAAATCAGGACATGAATAGAAAATACAAGTGATGAAATCTGATGAAATCTGATGAAATCTGATGACAGCCATGTTTTCATCAGATTTCATCAGATTTCATCAGATTTCATCAGATTTCATCAGAACTGTTTTTTCTTGTCACCACATGCCCATGGAAAAAAAAAACAATCACATTGAAAATCAAACAAATCCTAAAAAAACATGCACCCAAAACCAAATTGCATTGCAGCCATTTTGATATCAAAACTCCTTCTGTACAGCCCTTTTGTTTTTGCAGCAATGGGGAAGCCAATGAAGGCTATGAAAAAGGCAATGAAATCAACCTCTGCAAAGGGGAAACAAACCTCTGGGAAGGGGAATCAAACCCTTGCCAAAGGGAAGAACACCTCTGCAAAGGGGAAACCAGCCTCTGCAAAGGGGAAACCTTTGAAAAAAGGTGCAGTCCAGAAAGGAATCTTGAAGAAACACAACTTGCAAAAGTTGGGGCAGCTGTCCCTCCAGGACAAAATCAAACAAATCGCAGAAACCAATGATGATGAACATGAAGCAGCCAAGGAGCTGCAAAAGAGTATGACCACAGCAGAAAAAAGCAGGACTTGGTCCAAACACCAGACCCACCTCAACAAGAATGGCAATGAGGAAGAAAGGGATGCATTCAACAATGCATCTAAAAATGAAAAGGGAGAGCTGACAGCCCTTTTCCTCATGAGAAAGGAAGCTGCCAAGTTCTGCAATGTTAGCAGGTCCATTGGCACCAAGCAAGAGGTGACCATGACAGAAAAATGGTTATCAGAAAAAAAACCTTGAAAAATGGGGAGATGATTTGGAAAAGCATTGCTCCAGTGGCAGGGTGCAGTGGAGGCAGTGTGCGACAACTTGGGCGGTCTATGAGTACATGGACACAATGGACTACACAAAGAAAACCACAGGAACAGCCAAACGGATCTGGACCCAAGGCCAGGAGTTCCAGCAGAATGAAGATGAATATGAAAGTTGGAACAACTTCTTGGAAAAGGAGCTGCACTCTCTGATCATGGATCAAACCCCTGGGAAGGGGAAAGGGAAAGGGAAGGTGAGCCAAAAAAAAGGCAAAGGCAGGGGCAAAGGAGATACCAACCCAGAGGCACCCAAAGCACTTGAAGACATGCCACCAGATGAGCAGCAAGTTGAGTGCCTTAAGAAGCTCAAAAATTCGAGGGATTTGTTGCAGCAATGCAGGACAAACTATGAAGAAGCACTTGAAAAAGTGAAAGGCATGCAGTACCTCACAAAGCCTGCCTTCAAAGAAAAGGAAACACAGCTTTCAAAGTTGGAAACTGCACTTGGAAAAGTGAAGAAACAACTTGCAAAAGGTGACAAGGGAAAGGTCAACATCACCAAAGATCTCTTGAAAGAAGCTGTGGCCACCATGTCAGAAGCCAAAGAGGAAGCCAAGGAGCTTGTCCAGATCAGTATGAAAACCCAGTCCAAAAGTTCCAGAAAGTGAACACATGGCAGAATCCTTGCAAAAGGGGTGCACTTTTGTAAAAAATGGAATCACCTTTGCAAAAGGGTGGGCCCAAAGAAAGGGCTTGTTGTGTGTGTGAGACTAAGTCCACCTCTGCAATGTATGTGTGAACACATATACACCTTTGAAAAAGGGGCTACCTTTGCAAAAGGGGATGGCAAGTGGACACCCATCACACAGCAACTCTTTCACAAGGGGTTGGTAACATTTTTTTAAAGTGGCTTCGGCACAAAAGCCCCAGGCACAGACCAACCAACCTGTGCAAAATGATTGCTTCTGGCTGCTGGTGCTTCTTGGGGTGGCTGGGTGGTACCTGTTGTTGTTTGTAACTACAGTGTTTCACCATGCACCTAAGCTGCCATTTTCAAGTTTTGTTGCATCCCCCCCCACCCTCTCACCACCCACATGTGTTCATGTCTGCAGCTTTTTGGCTTAAGCCTTGGGTCACATGCCAGCCTTTTACAAAGGCTACAAATGCTTTGCCCACAAGGTGACCTTTGCAAAATGGGCCAAGCAGCCTTTGCAAAAGGGGGATGCAAGGTGTAAAGAGGCTGAGAGGTGTGGAGATTGAAAAAGAGAAACTCAAACCTGGCAAGAAAACCTTTGAGAAAGGGAAAAGCAGCAAACTAGCAACAGCCCTTCTGAGCTTGTGGGCCCATGGCAAGCTTTCAGCAGCCACTTGCAGGTGGTTAGCAGAACAAGCAATGCTGGATGGCTGCACCCACCCAGAGGTTTGTGATGTAGCAAGGGCAGGGAGCCATGGCCTTTATCCTGGCTATGTGCACAGGGACCTCATGGCCAGGTTTGTCAAGGGTGTTTTTGTGCCTGAGCCAATGCAGGTCCCAGTCCAGCGTCTCAACCCCAAATCCTTGAAAAAGGAAAAGGAAGAAGCAGCAGTGATCCTTCCACACATGCTATTCTCCAGCTTGGCAACACTGCCCAACTTCAATGAATCTTTTCCAACAGCACAGCTGGAACAATTCTGGCAAACCCTTGAAAAAAGAGGTGATCCAGCTTTGGAAGGGCACCCCATGAAGACCAGGAATTGGAAAAAAATCACCATTCCACTCTTTGTCCATGGGGATGGTGTTCAATATGCCAGCAGCAATTCTTTAATGGTCTGGTCTTGGGGTGCCTTGATGACATGCTTCAACTCCTTGCAAAGCAAGTTCTTGATCTCCTGCTGGCCAAAGTCAGCAACAACTGAGGAGACATGGAATGATTTGCTGGAGGAGGTCTGCTGGTCATTCAGTGCTCTCCTCAATGGCTTCCACCCCTCTCATGATTCTGATGGTGCACCTTTGAAAAAGGGATCGCCTTTTTTTGCAAACAAAGGGATCACCTTTTTTTGCAAACAAAGGGAAACCATTGGCAAATGGATACAAAGGTGTGATTTGGGCAGTGATGGGTGATGCTGATTTTTTTTGCATTGGCCCTTGGCCTGCCCCACTGGGCCAGCAAGAGGCCTTGCTATGAGCTTCCTCCAGCACTGCCAATCAGGGAAAGTATTTCAAAAAATTGGAAATTGACACCCAAGCCTTCACAAGGGTGACCCATGCACATGCATTGGCACATCCCTGCACCTCAAACCCCTTGTTCAATGCCATCCCAGGGCCGTCAACCAAATTTGTGAGAGGTGATGCGCTGCGCATATGCTTTTTCCACTTTTTCCACTTACCAACCATAAACATGACATTTCTCATTTTCCATCCTTTTCCCGGTGTGTCTCCCCGTTGTAAGGTGAACATGCCCGAGGTTTTCCCTTAGCAAAATTTGCCCCTTAGCAAAATTTGTCCCTTAGCAAAACTTGTCAACCAAAAATTTGTCCCTTAGCAAAATTTGTCCCTTAGCAAAAAATGCCCCTTAGCAAAATTTGTCCCTTAGCAAATTTTGTCCCTTAGCAAATTTTGCCCCTTAGAAAAATTTGCCCCTTAGCAAAATTTTTCTTTGGCAAATTTGTCCCTTAGCAAAATTTTCCCTTTAGCAAAATTTGCCCCTTAGCAAAATTTGCCCCTTAGCAAAATTTTCCCTTTAGCAAAATTTGCCCCTTAGCAAAATTTGCCCCTTAGCAAAATTTGTCCGTTAGCAAAACTTGTCCCTTAGCAAAATTTGCCCCTTAGCAAAATTTGCCCCTTAGCAAATTTTGTCCCTTAGCAAAATTTTCCTTCTAGAAAAACTTGTCCCTTAGAAAAAATTGCCCCTTAGCAAAACTTGCCCCTTAGCAAAATTTGTCCCTTAGCAAATTTTGCCCCTTAGCAAAATTTTCCCTTTAGCAAAATTCGTCCCTTCGCAAAATTTGTCCCATAGCAAAATCTGTCCCTTAGCAAAATTTTCCCTTTAGCAAAATTTGTCCCTTAGCAAAATTTGTCCTTTAGCAAACTCGTCCCTGCACTGCTGCCTTTCCCTTTGCCCAAAAGGGATGCTATCCAACAAAATCTCTGCAAGCTCCAAGTAGGCTGCCCCCAGGGTGATTTCATACTTCGGTTCAACATCAGAAAAAATTGGATTGAGAAGATTGGGCCTCTCAAATTGTTTGTGGTTTTGGTCCCTGGGTTGTTGTGCAATTTTGGCTGGGAAGTTACAATTAAAATCCATTATTCCACTGTTAGTGGGGGGTTCGCTCCAATATATGTGCATTTATTTCTTGAAGATAAAAACATGGTAGGTTTATGTTGTCTAAACGTTCTGGTCTTTTTGGAATCCACCTACCGTAGATGGTCTGCAACGGTGAGGCCTGATGACATGTAACCTGTGGAGCTGCCAAGAGGAAAAACGGGTGAAAATAGCTTTCAAAAAAAAACATAAATAATGTAGCAAGACATAATATTTGCAAATCTTTGCAACGCATTCAAGAACTGGGAAACCATGCGCACAATACATTCAAAACGTTGTCCAAAAAGATGATTCAAAAAAAAAAACGTTGCAAAAGAAATGAAAACATAAGCAAGACATTGCAAAACATATTTAAAATACACATATCAAAACATATAAAAAATATATAATATCAATACTTCAAGATGTACAAAAGCTACAAACACTTTTTCCATCTTTTTCCACTTACCAACCATAAACATGACATTTCTCATTTTCCATCCTTTTCCCGGTGTCTCTCCCCGTTGTAAGGTGAACATGCCCGAGGTTTTGGCGCAGGGGTAACACGACCATGAGCCCCTGGGAGCCCCCGTTAAAGACAACAAAGGGGAGACACAACGGGAGGGAAACAACGGGAAGATGAGAAATGTCGCTTTTATAATTTTGAAATGTATGTATATAAGCAGAATGAACAAAAAATAAAAAACATTTTTTAATGACATTCTTTTTATATTATTCTTTAATATCTGTCATTAAATCTCAGAAATTTTCTGACATGCTATCTGACATGTTTCTTCAGTATTTTTGTAATTTTCAAACCACATCCACAAACCACTGAGTGTTTAACATGTTTTTTCGAGTTATGTTAATATCCTTATTTGAGAATGTTTTGAGAGTGTATTCAGGGTCAATTAAGATTCCTATCATCTTTATTTCCTTTTCATTTGTATATGTGCACACACTTATTTAAAAAAAACATGGGTAGGTTTATGTTGTCTAAACGTGCTGGTCTTTTTGGTATCCACCTACCGTAGATGGTCTGCAACGGTGAGGCCTGATGACATGTAACCTGTGGAGCTACCAAGGAGGAAACACGGGTGAAAATAGCTGTGGTTTTTGGTATCCACCTACCGTAGATGGTCTGCAACGGTGAGGCTTGATGACATGTAACCTCTGGAGCTACCAATTGGGAAAAAATGAGTGAACATAGGTGAAAATAGTTTGGGGAATGGTGTTTTCCTACACACGTAGGTAGTCTGCAACCGCGACGCCTGATGATGCGTAGGTTTGGAGATGTAGATTTGGGCCATTTTGAAATTTCAGCTAACGGGTTATTATTGGAGGTGGTTGTAACGGATACACAGAATGTTTATCAAATGGAATTTGGCTGCTTTTTATGGCTGATGTAGAGGCAACCGGCACGGCATGGGAACAAATTCATTTTACAAATGGGTGCTGCTGTAGCTCGGTCACTGTCCTTTTCTTTGAAGCATCAATATGTTATCCAGCGGCTCCCAAAGCTATTCACGCATACTTGATTTTCACCTGTATCTTCAAACCAGATCATTGGGAATTGGGATCGGCAAATCCAAGTTGGTGGGGCTCTCAGGCTAAGTTTGCTCAGATGACATGGGTCAAACATGGGGCAGAAGGGTAAACCATACCGCAAAACATCGCAAAACTATATCATCTGGCTCCTGGACCGAAAACGTATGGACGAATACTGACCCTGAGCATCGAATATTGATCCCAATCAATTTATTCACTACTTTGTTCAACTGATTTTTTGTAGATTGATTTGAATTGATTTTTTCAAAAAGTCTCAGCAGTACAAAAACCCTTGGGGAAGGGGAAAGCACTGGAACCTTTGCAAAAGAGCCCAGCAAGAAGCAAGGACAAGCCTTACAGGGTGATGGGCCATGGCTGGTTTTGCAAAAGACAGTGGGCAAGAAACCAGAAAGAGCCTATGTGCTGGGCACCAAGGTGGCAGGCCTGAAGCCCAGACTTATAGTAGAAGTCACCAAAACAATGTCAAAAAAATACAGTTGGGTTTTGGACAGGATCATTGACTCCTTGAGAAAGGAGAACCTTAGCAAGCCAGAGGCAATAGCACTCAGAGAGAAAATGTGCAAGCAATACCCTTGAGAGAAGGGGAGAAGCAAAAAGCAGCACAAACTGTGCAAAAAGGTGCCTTTGAAAAGGGCTTGCTTTTGCACTGGCACCTTTGCAAAAAGGAACCTTTGAAAAAGGGTTTGCCTTTGCACTATACCTGTGCAAAAAGGAACCTTTGAAAAAGGGTATACCTATGCAAAAAGGAACCTTTGAAAAAGGGATTGCAACAAGGAAACCTTTGAGAACGGGTTTTGTACAGTCTTAGGGTGTTTAATGCTGCACATGCAGGACATGCCATCGGGCAAAAACATGCTGCAGCACAGGGGTTGGGCTTGGGGTGGCCTTAGTAGATGCTTGGTGCTTGGACAAATGTAACCCCCTAAAAATTGTTTGGTCTCCCCTAAATGATTTTTGGTTTGTAACCACCCTAAATGTTTTTTGGGCTGTATAGGTCCCCCAAATGCTTCTTGGGTTTGGTTCAAGCCCCCCTAAGTGTTTCATGTTGACATGTTTGGTGAGTGGTTGCTGCTGCAGCTCTTTCCACTGCTGCAGCCTTTCTGCTCAAGCAGTTTTCTTAAGTTTGTTTCCCCAATTCGCTCTCCCAATACTACCTTTGAGAAAGGGTGGCCTGTGCTTAACCCTTTGCAAAAGGGATGTTGGGAACCCCAGTTCCTCAGGGACTGGACAAACCCTTGGGAGAAGGGGATGGTGACTGGTGGCCTCAGAAAACATTGACCACTAGTTCTCCCAGCTGGATATGGAAGATGAATAGGAAACACCTTGCAAAAGGTGATGGCAGAAACAAGGCTGGTAAAAAAAGTTGGCAAGGGGACCACTTCCACCAAAAGGAAGCTCCAAAGGCTGCACCTGCAGCCACACCAGCCTGGGAAAGAGATGACTCTTGGGAAGATGACTCATGGGAAAGTGATTACTCTTGGGAAAGAGGTTGGTGGAGAAACTGGAGAAACTCTTGGGAAAGAGGTGAATGGGCAAACTCTTGTGAAAGAGATGATGGGTGGAGGGTGAGGGATGCCTGGGATGAGGAGGAGGAGGAGCAGGAAGGTGGCAGAAAGAGAAGGCCACCAACACCTCCCAAACCAAAGGGAAGGGGAAGGAGCAGGAGCAGCTCCAACAGCTCCAGGGGCAGCAGGGGGAGTGATGTCTCCATGGCATCGTCCTCCAGGAGCAGGGGGCCAAAGGTGAGGAGGGAGTGGAGGAAAAAGGAAGAAGCAAGACTTGCCTGGCA